GCCCGCCAGTGGCTCAGGACCAAGCTGCAGGCCGTGGGAGAAAAGGCTGGCTTCCTTGGGGTCTTAGGTGAGGCTCTTGGGTGAACAGGGGCTCTTTCTCCATAGTACGTCCGAGCCGCTGCGTCGTATAGCCCAGGTTGGCCTGTTGGCTCTGCTCCACACAGTCACTCAGGAGCCCAGGTTCTTCATTTTTTTTCTTTTACTTTATTTTTTAATTTATGTCATAAAAGAGAAAGACAGAAAGAGAAAGAGAGATGCATCCTCAACAGGGTCCTCATACCACGATCCACCCCCAGCCTCAGCCAGGCCAGATGGCAGGCATAAACACGCATGCCCGTAGTGTCCAGGGAGACCCTGGGATGCAAGCTGGGGGCCTTCCTATGAGCCCAGTTGTGCTCCTCTACGTACCATCTAGCCCCTCTTCAGCATCTGGTTGTCCCACCATCCTCTCGGCCACAGTTCCTGTCTTCAGGGTCAGGTCGTGTCGTCACCATGTTGGTGTCATGTGGGAAGAGAAAAGAGAGTCCTCACTCAGGGTGAGGGGCTTGGGTTTTCAGAGGAAGATGGTGCAGAAGATGCCCACGTCCTGCCCGCACACGTTCCTCTAAGCCCACCTTAGTCACACGGCCCATCCTGTCCACAAGGCGCCCGGGAAAGGGCCTCTCTACCGCTCTGCTGCAGGAAGGAGCGCAGATCTGGAGGAGCAATGAGCAGTCCCTGCTACCATAGTCCTCCGAAGAACTTTCTCAACTAGTACATGATTTCCGCATTCGGATGGTGTAAAGTGAGGCTCGATGGGCAGGACCTGGCTGCCTTGATGCAGCTAGTAAAGGGCATGGCATCTACACAGGGCGCTTGAAAGGCCCTCTGGCCAGGAGCCAGACAGCTCAGGTCTGCCACAGCCTTGGCCCGTGCCGCGGTGGGGCCGCATGCTGGTGCTTCCCGACCCTGGTCTCTCAGCTAAGACAAGAGGCCTGGGCTGGCCACCTCCACGAGTCCTTCCCAGTCTTCTCCCACCCTCTCTGTTCTTTTTTTTTTTTTTTAGAAACATAAAATCCAGTTATTTACTGTGTAGAGAAATTATGCATTTGTGTCCCTGTGCACCCTTTATAATATATATTTAAAAAGAGAGAGAGGGAGAGAGAGAGAGAAAAGAGAGAGGTATTTGCTATAGGGTGTGCACGCTCACTGGAGAGACAGCCAGAAAGCAAGAAATTAGCACCCAGGGGGGATGGCCATGCTGCAATCCCTTCTCCTCTCTCGGGATCTTGGGCATGCATGCACACGAGCCCAGCATGAGTATTTAAGCCTCCGGGTCCAGGATGCAAACTGTGGTCTTCCACTTGGGAGTCCAGCGACATAACCATTATACCATCTGCTGGTCCCCCCGCCTTCCCTGTCCTTACAGACACTGCAGGCCCTGGGAAGCTCCACACCATCCCCATCCCCGTGGCCAGGTGCTACACCTACAGCTGGAACCAGGACAGCTTTGGTAAGGAGCCGGCCGGGCTCTGGGGTTGGCCCTCACCCCCGGGCTGCCCCAGCTGTCTTTCGGGTCCTGGGCCCACTCGCAATAGCTCTCCCACACGAGCAGGCTCTAAGCAGAGCAGGGGCAGTGCTGTGAGTCCTAGGCTGGCCCTGAGTCCCCTCTGCTCCTCCTTGGGCCCATTCTGCCCAAGCTTGTCACCTGCCAAAGGGATGCGGGAGGGGATGCGGGTACTCAAACAGCGCTGCACGTGCTCCCCTCAGACATCCTGCAGGAAATCCTGCTGCAGGAAATCCGGCTGAAGGAACAGGAGCTGCTCCAGCCAGGGATTCTGGGGGACGACGAAGAGGAGGAAGAGGAGGAGGAGGACTTGGAAACTGACGGGCATTGTGCTGAGAGGGACTCACTGCTCTCCACGAGCTCCTTGGCATCCCGCGACTCCACTCTGTCCCTTACCTCCTCCCAGGCCTCAGGGCCAGCCCTGTCCCGTCAGCTGCTGAACTCCTTTGTCTCGGGCCTCTCGGATGGCATGGACAGTGGGTACGTGGAGGACAGTGAGGAAAGTTCCTCCGAGTGGCCCAGGAGGCCTGGCAGCCAGGAACGCCGAGGCCACCGGAGGCCCGGGCAGAAGTTCAACAGGATCTATAAACTCTTCAAGAGCACCAGCCAGCTAGTACTGCGGAGGGACTCTCGGGGCCTGGAGGGCAGCCCGGATGCAGCCCTACCCCTGCGGCGAGCAGGGAGCCTCTGCAGCCCCCTGGACGACCTGACGCCACCCCCAGCCCGGGCCCAGCGCTCCCACTCCCTGCCCCAGCCTAAGCTCAGCACCCAGCTACCCAGCTGGCTCCTGGCCCCTGCCTCACGCCACCAGCGCCGCCGCCCCTTCCTGAGTGGGGACGAGGACCCCAAGGCTTCCACGCTCCGGGTTGTGGTCTTCGGCTCTGACCGGATCTCCGGGAAAGTGGCCCGGGCATACAGCAACCTTCGGTGAGGGCCATAGTGGGGGCATTGCATGCTGGGGTCCGAGCCTGAGGCTTCAGGTCCAAGAAGGACCAAGGGTTCCCTCTCACCCTCTTCTTTTCGCCAGGCGGCTGGAGAACAACCGCCCGCTCCTCACACGGTTCTTCAAGCTTCAGTTCTTCTACGTGCCTGTGAAGCGGACCCACCCCAGTGCCTGTCCAGCCCCTCACAGCCAGACGCCCCCACTCCCCAGAGACTCCCCCAGACACCCCAGCTCTGCAGTATGTCCCCACTCCTGGGCCACATGGGGTGGGAGCCTGGAGCGGATATGACAGGAAGCGGGGTGGGGTCACAGAAAGCACTCCTGTGTTTACGGCACCTCCTCCTGCCTGGCCTTGCTCTGGCCTCTGCCCTGCACTGGGTGTGCCATTCTGGCATGTGACAGAGACCAAGAGTTGGCATGCTTCTGCAAGGCCAGGGAGAAACTCAGTGGGGCTGCAGGGGCCGCCATGGGCCCTGGAGCTGGGATGGCCGGAGGTTTGGGTAGCCGGGATGACTCGCGTCCCTCCCCCAGGAGCTGGGCCCAGCCCCATGGGAGGAGAGCACCAATGACATCTCCCACTACCTCGGCATGCTGGACCCCTGGTATGAGCGCAACGTGCTGGGCCTCATGCACCTGCCCCCTGAAGTCCTGTGCCAGGTAGGGGTCCCCTGGTCAAGTCCCCACGTCCCCTCCCTGGAGCAGGCCCCGGGATGGGGGATCCAGCTTGCAGCCTCCAGGCAGGTCAGGGAAGGGGGGGCACTGGGGGCAAAGGCTGGGGTCCTGAGGAGGCGGGTCCAGAGAAGGGTTCTGGGGACTGTACAGTTCAGCTCCCTTCCTCCGCTCTGGCGGTGTCCAGCTGGGCCCATGTGCACTGAGGGCATGGCGGCAGGGCGCCTCCACCTCCCGTCTCTCTCCCTGACTCTTCTGCCCCGGTATCGCTCTTCTCTGCCCCTGTGTGTGTCTCTTGTCTCTCTGGCTCTCCTTGCTCATTGCCCTCCGGTCGCCCCCCACCACCACTGCGGCCACAGCAGTCCCTGAAGGCGGAGTCGCGGCCCCTGGAGGGCTCCCCGGCCCCACTGCCCATCCTGGCCGACATGCTGTTGTACTACTGCCGCTTCGCCGCGCGCCCGGTGCTGCTGCAGGTCTACCAGACCGAGGTACCGGCCCTCTCCCCGCCCCGCGGGCCTGGGCTGCCCCGCCAGGTCTCAGCCTGCGCCCTGCGAGCCTGCCCGCGCCAGCGCGGCCCGACCGCCCG